TGTTGCCAAAAGGGTGAGGGACCACTGCTTTAAATGATTGTTTGTACTTTGTTTTTTAAAATAATTTTCCCTAGTTAAATTGATATTTTGCTGGGGAGCGTTCTCACTGTGCTCCTTCACCCATCTCTCTGGAAGTCCATTCATCTGCCATCCTTTCTGCTGTAGTAATGAATGCATGGCTAGCTCACAGGGCGTTGCGTAACCTGACACACACCGGGCATATGGCTTGTGCCCAATCTAACTTCATGCCATAATTCCTTGAGTACTGAGCATAAAATAAACCCAGGCAATTTGTTCTGTTCTACATGTACCAAATCCATGGTTTCGTTTCTAATGAGGGAAACGTGGGTTCACTTTTTCAGTCTGGCTTCAGTAAAACAGGGGGAAAAAAGTACAAACTTATAAAGATTTCCTAAAAAACATTAAAGTGTTCGTAAATCAACTTCCCCATATTTCAATTATACTTACATGAAAAGGCTCCACTGAAACGTCAAAAGCATAACTTAAATTTCAAATTTAAGAAATATTAATTTTATGATATCATTTTTCTATAATCTTCCAATAAATTTTTCTAGCAGAAATTTGAAAACCAGAGGAATATTTATAAAAGCTCACAGTGGAGCACGTCTGTAGTCCCAGCTGCTTAGGAGACTCAGGTAGGAGGAGGCCCTTGAGGCCAGCCTGGGAAACACACTGAGACCGCACCTTAAAATAAGCAAATAAATAACATAAAAGCTTTTGGGTATTGGCTATGGGATAGAAACGGGGTGATAGTTTAGAGAAAGGAGGCCTGTCTAGAAGCAAAAGGGAGTTTATTAGCGAAAAGAAGTGAGGTCTGAACCCAAGTTGGCCCAGCCCCTTCTGGTTCAGGTGTCTTTTTTAATTTAAGGTATAGCAAGAATGTGAGTCGGGGGTAGCATGGGAGGGACCACTTCTTACATAGGGGCTGTTAGCCGGGTGGAGAGTCCACTCTCTGTAACATTCCAGAGCAATTGCCCAGCAATATTCCAGAGATGTGGGGCTTTAAACACTTTGCAGTTTTTTTTTTTTTTTTGGCCAGGGCTGAGTTTGAACCTGCCACCTCTGGCATATGGGGCCAGCGCCTTACTCCTTTGAGCCACAGGCACCACCCGGGCTTTAAACATTGTTCTGGGGTTTGACCTTTGACTCGATTCATCTGACTTCTTGGTTCAGTTTCTCTACATGGCCACGCTGATGCTCAGGCGGTATCTAAGATTTGAGGATCCCTTTTCTACATGGGGCTCTGCAGTCTTACTCAGGCAAATACCTGGTCTCTTCCAGGTCTCCATCAAACCCATGGGGTCACTTTAGGCCAGCGGTCCCAGACTGTCTCTTTGACATTACACGGATACTCACGTGTCATTTTCATCAATTTTACCGCATCATCACACTTTTTTCTGTATCTGCGTAACATCTGCACTTAGTCATTTATTGTTTCTCTCTAGCACTTTTGAATTTCTTTCTAAATACATTCATTTGTAAAGCAAATGTTCTATCACTCATGCAAATAGCCAATTAGGACATATGAAAACAAAAATTGTTAAACATTCTAGCTAGATACTATAAAAGGCTCAGAATTTGAGGCCTACATTCTGTTTTTTCTTAGAGCCATGCAAGAGAACAGCTGTATTTGATTAACACTTACTATCATAAGCACTTTAGACACAGTGCCTAATTTTGTATTCCTAACAACTGCACGGGGAGGTTGTCTTCCCTGTTTTACAAGAAAACTGAGGCCCAAGTAGATAGCAGAGCCCAGATCAAATGGAGGCCGTGTGGGGTCAGGACTCTTAACCATGCCACCCTCCTGCCCCCTACTTCATGTAAGAGATGATCTCTGTGATTTGATGCCATCTCTGCCTCACCCACAACCACCTCCGGGTGCCCTGGCAGCAGGCTGCGGACTCCACTGCCACACTCTGGAAAGGCTGGACCTGGAGGATGTCCACTGTTGACTCTGGGGAAGGCTTCCTTCCAGGCTCAGATACCTGTGGAAATGCAGCACATTCAACTCCTCTTTTCAAGGCCCACACTTTAGGCTGGCATCTAAAAAGCTCTCAGAGTTCTAAAGCAGATTTTTTTTTTGCAGTTTTTGGCCAGGGCTGGGTTTGAACCAGCCACCTCCGGCATATAGGGCTGGGGCCCTACTCCTTTGAGCCACAGGTGCTGCCCAGCAGATACTTTTTTTTAAGACAGGGTCACCCAGGCTAGAGTGATGAAAGGGGTTTGGCAGTGTATCCAGAGATGAAACCAGGAGAAGTTCAGGTCAATTTTAACGAAAGGGGACTGAGACCTGCCTGGGCAAAGATGGCGGCTGCACCGAGAGTGGTTGGGGGCATGTTTTTACACTGGGTTTAGGGGAAGGGAGATTCCACAGGTTGCTGGAAGGCTTCGTTGGGCTAGGGTCTTTCCTGTGGCACTCTTGGGGCAAGGGGCAGGTAGACCTTTTGTTCCGGGAGAGGAAGTGGGGTAATGGTTTAGGCATTTAACAAGTACAATGACAGATCATAGCTCACTGCAGCCTCCAACTCCTGGGCTCAAGTGATCCTCCCGGCTCAACCTTCTGAGTAGCTGGACTACAGGATGCCCAGCTAATTTTTTATTAATTTTTGTAGAGACTGGGAGGTTTTGCTAGGCTCCTCACACTGGTCTTGAAATCCCTGGCCTCAAGTGCTCCTCCTGCCTTGGCCTCCCAGGGTGTTAGGATTATAGGTGTGAGCCACCACGGTCAGCTGGGTCTTTTAATCCTTGTTGAACACAGAATTTCTCAAACTTACTGGATCTCAGAATCCTTTTAAAGAGGAGCATGTCTTAGTATATCAGGAAGCATGCTTGTTCCACAGAGCAGTTTGGAAAACACTGGATTCATCTCGGTGTTTAAAAGAAATTAATTTCACTGAAAAATATAAAGAAATCTTCATTCAAAGAGACTACAGATGTTCAAGTAGGGTTTCTGTCACTAAGTGAATTTTCTTATGCTGGCACACCCAGATAACTTTAAGGGGTCACCTGCTTTCCAAAACCTCTCCCATTCCTTCCACCCCCATGTCCTACTCGAGTAATAATAGCAAGTTCCTCCAGGTGATGGCCTTCCTCTCTGTCAGTTCTACCAGGGACAGAAGCCATCACGGACAAAGGAAACCCTGGGGATTTGAACAAAAAACTCTTATTTCCTTAGAGTAAGTGTCAGGCACCTTATATCCCAAGTTCAGTAAACTTGAAACCTATTTCAGAAAACTTACAACTAGGTATGAGAAGTTGTGATAACGAATGCACTTCAAATTGTCACCACTGACACCTGCTTCTCGGCGTGACCTGCTCAGCAAATTGAAAGAAGTCAGAGCTTTTTCTTTTTTTTTTGAGACAGTCTCACTTTGTTGCCTCAGCAGAGTGCTGTGACGTCATAGCTCACAGCAACCTCAAACTCTTGGGCTTAAGCGATTCTATTGTCTCAGCCTCTCAAGCAGCTAGGACTACAGGTGCCCACCACAATGCCTGGCTATTTTTAGAGAAAAGGTCTTGCTCTGGCTCAGGCTGGTGTTGAACTCATGCGCTCAGGCAATCCACCCAACTCGGCCTCCCAGAGTGCTGGGATTACATCGCACCCAGCCTTCAGAGCTTCTTGATAATGAAAACCGAGGCCCAAATTGCTCGTGTGTGCTCCCTGTGCCCTCTTCACCAGGAGAGGCACTGAAGGGGACTGCTTGTCATTACCAGGACACAGCTGCAGGAAAGAGGCACTCCCCGTGGGAGGTACGCCTTGTTACATGACTCTTGGGAATACTGACCTCCTTGTGGTTTCTGCTTTTCTTCTGCCAATGGCTTCTTCACCCAAGGGCTTCACCTGCCTCCGAAGGAGCCCAGCAAGGAAGCACTTCTGGTTCGAGGTGGTCCCTTCTTCCTGGTGTCCCTCTGTCCCCAAGAAGGGCTCTCTGGTGTTGGTTTTGCCCTAGAAGCTGCAGCCATACTCTTTCCCTCTTTTTATCTCTTCATCTGCCATTTTTAAAAAGCAGGAGGAAAAGGAAGAATAGAGGTCCTTTTTTTTTTTGAGACATAGTTTCGCTCTGTCACCTAGAGTACAGCACAGTGCAGCCTCCAACTCCTGGCCTCAAGCAAGTCTCCTGCCTCAGCCTCCCAAGTAGCTGGGACCACAGGCACCTGGCACAACACCCAGCTAATTTTCTACTTTTAGTAGAGATAGGGTCTCGCTCTGGCTCAGTTTGGTCTCAAACTCCTGAGCTCAAGTCATCCTCCTGCCTCAGCTTCCCAAAGTCCTAAGATAACAGGGGTGAAGAATAAATTTTTTTTTTTTTTGAGACAGAGCCTCAAGCTATTGCCCTGGGTAGAGTGCCGTGGCATCATAGCTCACAGCAACCTCCAACTCCTGGGCTCCACCGAGTCTCCTGCCTCCTGCTCCCAAGTAGCTGGGACTATAGGCGCCCGCCACAACACCCGGCTATTTTTTGGCTGCAGCCGTCATTGTTGTTTGGTGGGCCTGGGCTGGATTCAAACCCACCAGCTCAGGTGTATGTGGCTGGCGCCTTAGCCACTTGAGCCACAGGCGCCGAGCCAGGAATAGAATTTCTGATGGGTACTGAGAGGTCTGCTGTATTGGCCTGCAAATCGGGTGTTCTGGGGTCATATTTACGATGTGGTGCTGAGGACTTGCGCTAAGAGCCCTTGAAAGAAAGATCAGGAACTTCCAGGCCTCTCACAACCATGACCTAAGAGACAGAGCTGATATTCAGAGGTGCATCCCAGCCTGAACCAGAGGCAGAGTTTGAAAACAGTGACTCTTACGTTTTAGAGGACTCAATCATCAAACAGATGAGGGCCACCAGCACCTCCCCCTCCCCCATAGCTTGAACAACATTCTTTAAGAACTAAAAATATAAAGGTTGTCCTCTTAACTGATACAATGGAAACTAAAAACCAACAAACAAAATCAGAAACAACTCAACTCTGGGAATAGAACTGCATAACCATTTCTTTACATTTTTATTGAATTTTATTTTTTAAAATTTCTGCCCAGTTACGACAATGAAATGAGAAACCACAATTACAATCCACAAACCGTGGCATGAAAAACAACACACACCCCATCAGGAATTACACCAAACCCTTTCCTTTTTATTCATTCAAAAGGGAGTCTAATTAATGCACACGTGTCAAATCTGAGCACTGTCATTTTTTTTTTTTTCTTAGAAGAGGGAAACCATTTATTCTGGCAATGCTTTTACAATTCCAGGAAGTGGTTCTGATACCACCAGTTGCAGGAATAGAAGCCATAACAAACTCGGAGGGCATTTCATTGAGAGGTAAGGGACTCCTCGGTTGGAAAAAAAGATTCCTCTTGTGCTTAGTGAATTACTTGTCAGTCTTGGCTGGTCGCTGAGCCTTCCCAGGTGTTGAAAGAGAACATGGAATTTCCTGCACAGGCAGCTGAAAATTCCTTGTAGAGCAAAATGTTTTCTGTGTCTCCAACCCTCCCCCACCCTGAAGCAAGTTCTCAAGCTTCTCTGGAGCTTCTTTCGGTCACTTGATTCTCTATCATGTGGACCCTTTTGCTAAAACACACGTGACACCAAGTTTCTTCTTCCACTGCTTCTCTCGGGTTCCGATGACAGCACGAAACATCACTTGTCAAATAATATTAGATATTAAGAATGTGGGCATCGATGCTCATGATTAATAGCAAACACTGTGCAGGGTATGTCACCCAAAGGAGCCTGTTTTTTTTGTTCTTGTTTTGTTTTGTTTTTCATTTAATATGGTCCCTTGGGGAGGTAGCCCAAAGTCACACACTTCAAGAGTCTTGTTCTCAAGACTGGTTAAAGTTGGTTCATAGGACAGTTTAGAAACTGTCTTGGGCCAATGTAAAAACTCTTACTGCCCAACAATTCAATGGTCCAAAAAGCAATTAAAAGTTACCATTCAGTTTTACACTTCCACGCAGGCGCGCACACACACTCTCGCACACACGTACATAAGAGAACTGTGACAAAGGGATTAGCCAGATTCATCTTGTGACTGTGTTCTAAAGAAAACGAAATCTCCAACTTGAGCTGTCCCCTTCAAGTACTTGAAAATGCAAAAACAGTCTGCTCCCATTCGGTTTTATGATCATCGGAAATCCTACTTCTTTCATTATAGGCTCTGGGGTCAGGAAAGTCACCTGCTGGGGCAAGAAATGCCCTACGGAGATCAACTCATGATTTCTCCCAAGGCAGGTGCTGGCTTGTTATTTCTGTTGAAAAAAAAATCTGTTGAGGCTTTGCCTACTGTAGCCTACCAAGAGTCACTACTTTATCAAAGAAGCAGAAGGGTAACCCCAGCTGACTCACGTGTCTTGTGTGACCCTGGAGAGAATCAGTTCTCTTTACACATTTTCCAACCAACACCCGGAGGAGGCAGATGTCAACAGAATCCCCTCCCTTGTCTCTATCACAGCACAGGCAGTCTGGCCCCCGTCAGGGGGAGAAAAGAGAGCAATTCTTTTGCATTTGCTTTACATTTGACTTCATGGAGATTTTAAAGCAAGGGTTTTACAAGTTCTCAGCAGCAGACTGTCCAATCAGAGGCTCTGTATTTATAAGTAACCAACGTGGGATGGTGCTCTCCAATTAGAAAGGTCACTATCTGAAGGCCTGACAGCCAGATGTGTGTGGAGAGACTGCAAAGGGCTCTGCTGAATTTCACAGACTGTTCTAGGAAAACAAGGTACTTAGTGGTAGAGTTCTTTGCACGATTCAGAACTGAATCCTGATTATCTTGAGCTATTAAATGATGAAGGTTTTTCATGGACTCTCTGTCCCCTTTGGCCCCTAAGAGTGCCCCATCTCTGCCTAGCACTAGTGATATGTGGGGAAGAAAAGGGCATAACCCCCGCCGTGATTATATAGGCGATTTATAAGCCGGGCCCTTTATTGAAAAGGAACGGGACACTCTCTGAAATACATATTTAAGGGTCTTGCTGATTACTGGCAATCTCTATGAACCAATACTTAATCCATGAGCTAATAGATTTTCTTTAATCTGAGAAAGATAAAAGAAGGAAGAAAAAAAAAATAACCAAAAAAGGCTTATGCTAAAATAAGTTGGCACAGTTCTCATGCAGAATATTGCACCCAGTGTTCACTAACGCTAGAAGCTCCAAACTGTATAAATTTAAATGTATTTGCATATTATAAAAATAAAGATAAACATATACATATTTTACACTCGTTACGGAACAGCAATGAACGTCAGTCGATCCCTCTTTCACATTTAACACAACTAAAATCTGAGTGCTCTAAATACTGCCACCTGTCCTGGAACTATGGCTTAGAATGTGCATGGAAAACAAAATCCCTGAGAAGCCATTCGACTTTTTGTTTGTTTCTTTTCTTCAAGTAGCGCTCTCCTTGGAGGATCACAGTTCTGAGGTTCAGGTTGTAAAACATTTGCTCCATTTTCTCGCCCATCCTCCCCCGCCCCGCCCCCCCGGCCTGCCCGCTCCCCACCTCGGAAAGCACCCTGAATGCTTAGTCACTCGAGTTCACAGAACACGCTGGGTGCAGAGGGCTCCCTGGGTACAAAAGACAATCCCAGGTGAGTTCGGATGCTCTTTGCTCTCCACGGAAATTCCACAGCCGTGAAAGTCACTGGTTTCTATGCTTTTCACCAACGTTCTTCCTATAGGGGTGGATGAGAAGAAAGGGCAGGATTATAAAAAGTTCTAGGCAACAATGCCCTCATTTATCCAGCAATTTCTGCACACACTTCGTTGCTACTTCTAGAATTGCCTCATTACTATGTCAACGCAGGCAACTAACATCCCCACCAGGGAGAGACTCTTTTGAATAGAAATTCACCAGACATATCTATTACTGATGTATGGGCCATACACAAGGAACGGTGCTAAATGGCTGTACCGCTTATTCTGTCGTGATTTTACAGCTTAACTACATCTCTAATTAACAACCCACAACTCTAAACACAGAGCTACTTCCTTTCAAAAAACACAGATGGTCACAAAAAGATACACTAAAGAACCCCCCAGGAGTAGTAATAGATATACTAAGACTAAAACATGAGATTTCTGGCCTGTAAAGCATGATTTTACTTAAAATGTTAAAAAGGGAGGTTGACAACTGAACTCTGGAGTTTGATGATTATAAAGGGAGAACACGTCTGCATCCTCAGCGAATTTACCAAAGTGGCATCAGTTCAGACAGAACGGTTAGAGGAATGAGGGTCAAACATGGCCCTCCTTTACTTTGGCTTTCTTCCAATGACAAGGGATGGGATGTCATTGATAGTGTCTTAGCAACATTTGATAGAACATTCGAAGACGTTGAAAAGAAAGGAAAAAAGGTTTATGATCCCCAAGCCCCCATGTCTCCCCTAATGCTATTTGATTTCAGGGACACTGAGAAGTCAGTACCCACCTAAGACACTGCCCCAGCCCAGACAAGAATCGGCGGGAGGCTCCTTCCAACAGGCTGATGATAAATGATGCTGCCAAAGATAAGCCACTTCCAGGTACAGCCACATCCTAGGAATCGAGCCCTTCACTCTAATGCATTCTCTATCAATCTTCAACTCCTAAAAATCCCACCAGGTAAGTTCCATCTTAACTCTGCACTTTACTAAGAAGGAAAACTAGGGTTCTAAGAGAGGAAGTAACTCCCCCGAGGGTACATCCTAGTGAGGGGAGAGCGGGGTGTGTAATGAGGGTTGTCGGACTCTAAAACACGTGCCCCAGAGAAGAGGGGTAGGATGTCCAGGCCCTAGGTGGGTTTCCCATTTCTATGGAACCATGGGTGCTTTCTGAAGAGAAGGTTTAGCAAACTGCCCCAAATTTAAGTAGCATCATGATAAGTCTAATGGTGAAGAGGTTGAGTATGAAAACACACCTCTCAACACAGCAGTGAACTCTGGCTATGTGAGTGTCAGATTCACCTGGGAGAAGCTAAAGACCCTTCTGAAATGCAGAGTTGCATCTAGCTGTCTGTTCCCCTGGGCCAGAAGTGAGACAAGAATAGCAACTCAAAGGCACCAGGAAAAAATACCCAGAGTTCAATCATATTGATACCTATATCTGGGCTGTTAGGGAAAAGAGCCACCAAACTGTCAACCTTCTCTATGTCACATTTCCATTCCAGTAAACTTGTCCTCATCCTTCAACAGCCACCTCAAATGCTACTTCCTGGGACTTTTTTTGAGTCTTTCTGGTCGAGTTCTTTGTTTTCTGCCCTTCCAGGATTTTATTCATATGCCTGTCACAGCAGGGACCACATTGTCATGATAATTAGACACAGGTTCTTCCGGTTATTTGATTCCCATTCTCCCCAAGGAGCCTATTAGATCACGGAGGGCAGGGTCTGATGGGGTTACTTCTGTGTCCTCGACACCTGGCACAACGTCTACTAGAAGGCACGTCCTCAACAAAGATCTGCTGAATGAATGATAAGACGTGATGAAAAAGCCACAGGAAAAAGCAGCCAAGACCAGTGAGATCAGGAGGAAACATGTAAAAAGAAGTAGGGAGATGTGACTGTAATTAGAGGCACTGGGGGTGGCTTCCCAGAGCAGGTGGCCTTGGCCCCAGGGACCAATGGGCCGTCACTGGGTAGGAGGGAAGGGTGGCAGCCAGCAGAGGACTGAGGACCAGCACCCAGGGGAGCAGCAGGGTGGCCCTCCCACAGTAAGGAGCATCTCACATGTCAGGGAGTGGCTGGAGTCGGATCACGCGTAGCCTTGTGAGCTGTGCCTGAGATTTTGAACATGAGCCTGTGGTCGTCAGGAGGCTATCCAAGGTTTTTTAATAGAAAGGCGCTGATGTTAAAAGCTAATATTGGTTTGAAGAATGTAAAGATGACAGTGAGAAGGCCAGCTCAGACTCGATCACAGTGATCTTGGCAGAGATGGGGGTGGGAGGTAGGTGGGGGTGGGGGCAGTGGGTAGAGGAAGGCTGGGGCTGAAGGGAAAGGCACGCGGTCAGGTTCACTCATGGCAGGGAACACTGGTAAGATGGGACGACAGGTCTTGGTGAACAACCCCCATGAGGAAGAAAAGGCGAGGAAGGAACTGGGCAGACGGGCGCAAAGCCATGCCACCACGCGAGACAGGGAGAGGGCTTTGGGGCGGAAGAACAGTAAATCCAGATACACCCGAGAAGCCCGCAGCACACTGGGAACAGAGGCTGGGGGAGGGGCTAGCCTATAGGGTTCAAGTTTGAGGACTTGCCCCAAGACCCAACAAAGAGATCATGACTCCAGATATTTAGAAGCTTAGGCTGAACTTGAAGCTACCGCACGTTGCATTAACTGCATCTTTTACGCTCTGTATTCTGATGCTTTCATATCTGGGGCTTTGCTGATCCCAGAGGAACCATCCCCCTTGGGGCTGGCCAATTTCTGGAGACAGTCAAGAGACAGTAAACTTGTCCCAGGATATAATTTTCAAATACAGTCTAACTAACACTGAACCCACACCCCAACCACCTCCTCTATCGGGCTTTCACACCCCAGGCCTCTATCCACCTGCCCTAATCATCTCAGGGCCAGCTACCAGACAACTGGGGACAACCCCTGTGCCCCAGCTAGCCGCTGAAATTATTCAAGCCAGCCCGTGCTAGGCCTGCACATCCTGCAATAAAGTCCCTGCCTCTCTCTGCCTGTGATGCCCTGCAGAGTCCCAAATGTTGTAGATGCAGCCAACTCTTGTGATACTCCTGCATCATAGTCTATTTTTGGAAAAACGATTTCATCTTCTGACAAGAATCTAAGATTGCTACTATATACGCTACCATGGTCAATTAAGCAAAGGAGTCAGTTTCCTTATTCCTAATTCCTAACTACAAGTTGATTCTAGATACGTACAAGAGTTGTCGTCTTAAGATGTCCTCCTCTATGGAATCCCTTCATCCCGACACCCCCTTTTTACCCCTGAACTCTCCAAGGGCTCAGGAGGGCCTTACCTACTTAAGAAATTCTCTCTGCTTCACAGAGACTTACCCTTAAAAACTGGTGCTCCTAAAGTCACAGTTTGGGTACAGTAAAAATGATGGCATAAGGAAAAGATGCACTATCTTTTCCACTTAATTTTCCAAGAAAGTATGAAGATACCTAAGCAGAGAGGGGAAAAATTCCAGTATCAATGTGGCTGATGGGAGACTAAATAATTAAAGAAATACATTTTCTTCTGGCCTATACAAGTAGCAAGGCCTCCTGCTCTCTCACTGTGCAGAGAACAAAACAAATCGATGCAAATCAATGTGATACACCCCACAGACAACCTTGCTTAGCCTTGGGAAACACCACCCCATCCCCACCCTCCAGAATTCTGTGGATAGTGAAAATGCGCCAATGTGATGAAGCTGAATTCATCCTGCTCCACTGCTTTTTAAAGAAACCTTTAAACTACTCCATAAAGAACACCATCCTAACCAATCTGGGTGAAATTAGACATATTTTGCCTCTTGGTGAGATAAAGGCTGCAGGGTCTTCATCCTACTTTTTCTGAAAGGCTACGTCAGGCTACGTCAATTGGTATTAAATATCCTTACGTCTAAACAATGTGACTGCCAAAATTCCTGTGCAAAATCGTCACCATCCTTTGAGAATACTTACAAATAGTAACTGGAATCTAATGGTGCTCTTGCTTGAATGGGAACAGTATAGAGAAAATAATCTAAGATTTTAAAAGTTAAATTTGCAATGCAGTTATGTCATCAGCCTTGCCTGCTATTATTAGTAGTATTTACTGGAAAAGGAGAAAGCTTAGCCCAACCATTTTCAAACCAGCCCATTTTTTGTGAGCTCTGCAACGCATGACCTGACCAAATCAGAATCCATGTTGTTCTTCAGTCTCTGAGAACTCCCGCTGCTCCCCAGAAGAGGGAGCACAGGGCGAAACGGTCCCACCATGAGGGAACTGTCCCTGTCGAAAAATAAAATTGACACATTGCCACTTCCTGTATGTTCTAGGGTCAGTCCATTAAGAAACCCCATGGCAGAATGTGGCTGCATTCCAGGATGCCACAAGGATGCTTCCACATGCTAACCTGTTGTGTTCTCTCTTTCTCGTACGTAAAGATCACTAGGTAAACAGGGTCATCTGGCAGTTTATCACACAGCTGTACAGTTTAACTGGGGGCAGAGGAGGTTGGGCTAATCCTTATTTCAAAGGGAAAGAAAAGGGAAACATCTGGCAGGATGCCTAAAAAATGAGCTGCAATTGGCGAGCTATCCTTTGTCCAAAAGGACTCACCTTCCCTGGATATTAGAATATTGTATCTCAACATGAAGAGCAAATGGACAAAGATAAGATTCACAGATAAAATTTATAAAAGACAATCTCTTCTACTTGCTCCCTACTTTTTCCCATGAAAGTCCATTTTTTTTGAGATAGAGTCTCACTCTGTCACAGCAACCTCCAACTTCTGAGCTCAAGTGATCCTCCTGCCTCAGCCTCCCAACTAGCTGGGATGACAGGTACCTGCCACGATGTCCAGCTAGTTTTTCTATTTTTAGTAGAGATAAAGTCTTGCTCTTGCTCAGGCTGGTCTTGAACTCCTGACCTCAAGCAATCCACTTGCCTCAGCCTCCCAGAGGCTAAGATTACACGTGTGAGCTACTGCACATGCCCCCTCACCATCAAAGTCTATTTTTGCCCTCTTTATGACTCCTAGGGACAAAGGCTCAGCACCCCTCAACTATCCTGGGGGTTAATCAGGCTGCCATGAAGATGTTCTGAAGGAAGACCTCCCCACCCAAACCATCCACACCTCTTCATTATCCAGGAAATAAGGCCCAGCAGTTGGAGTAAAGTCAACTCATTTTCTTTAGACTGAACTATGCCCAGGATAACACATTTATGAGCATTTCTTTAAAACTCAGAAGTCTGCTTCATACCAATACACCAGCCAGCAAAACAATTCCTGAAAGTGGTGTTACAAAGATGTACTGACTGCATGGAACTAGGTATTGTATAGACACAACTGACTATAAATAGGCCTAAGTTTTCTTTGGGGAGGTAAAGAACGTGTTCTAAAATCAGACTGTGGCAATGGTTATAAAACCCTATAACTGCATTACTAATCACCAAATGGGCGAGTTTTATAGTATGGAAATTATGTATTAATAATGTGTTAAAAAACATATCTCACTTAATTCATATTCTTACGATTTTGGGGGCAACCCAGGCAAAGTGGCTACTAGATAAGTTACTTCATTTCAAATGCAGATGCCTTTGGAAATCAAAGATATCCAAAGGGTGGCAATTACTCATGCTTCTATCTAATCATCAGCAAAGAGAAGGCCATTCAGCTCCTGCTTCTCCCTAGAAGGTGGGGAGCAGGAGGATGGGAATTTCATTCAGTTCCTGCAGCCTCATCCAATGGAATGCTGGCTGCACCGAGCCAAGTTATAAGAGTAAAATTGCAGGCTCGGCGCCTGTGGCTCAAGTGGCTAAGGCGCCAGCCACATACACCTAAGGTGGCAGGTTTGAATCCAGCCTGGGCCGCCAAACAACAATGACAGCTGCAACCAAAAAATAGCCAGGCATTGTGGCGGGCACCTGTGGTCCCAGCTACTTGGGAGGCTGAGGCAGGAGACTCGGTTGAGCCCAGGAGTTGGAGGTTGCTGTGAGCTGGGATGCCACAGCACTCTACCCAGGGGGGCAGCTTGAGGCTCTGTCTCAAAAAAAAAAAAAGAGTAAAATTGCCTGGTGGATTTTTTGTCTTTGGTAGAGATGGGTCTTGCTATGTTTCTTAGGCTGGTCTTGAACTCCTAGCTCAAGAGATCCTCCTGCCTCTGCCTCCTAAGGTTCTTGCTGTAGTTTTTGAATTCCTATCTACTCCTTATTGTTGGCCTCTCTTCGTGGGAGACTAAAACACCTAGACGTTTTTAAAATAAGAGATAGAAAAGCATGGATTTCATATGGAAAAGCCGATCAACTAACAATCATCCCTGCTTTCTTCTTTATCAACCACACAGCAGCACCATTATTTTTAGACACAACCAAAAGCAGGCAGCTAATTAGATTAGAGGTCCCTGATTTTACCCACAGGGGGTGGGGGGTAAACTAAGTCAAATCTCGACTTTGGAATGTCTTTTTAAAAACCACCCGTAAGATCTAGATCAGTGGGCTGAGACGCGGGTGATAATGCTGGCACACATGGGACCGTCCCGGCATAAGGATAATAAATAGCCTTCCCATCACTCTCAGTCCTGTCCTGAACAGCAGCAGGGACTATTCGGAGGCCGACAGCAAGAGGGCATGAGCAGTTCTGCCCTCGTGGCCCTTTCTAGCCAGGGAGCCCACACTTAGGGACGTGGAAGGGATCTGAGGGATCAGAAAGTCCAGCAGACAAACATGTGAATCACCCAGGTGACCTTTTTGATTTTAAAGATTCATGCCTAATCCTTCCCCCAAGAATATCTGACATATATGACTTAATTTTTAAAATCTGATCTGTACTGTGATCTGCTTGGGTTAATGTGCCTTGAGCTGCAAAAAGCCAGTGCAACAGTCCCAGTGTCTTGGCTCCTAGTGCCCGCGGAGACCCCAGGTCTCAGGCTCAGCTGTGTTCACGCAATGACCACCTCCTTTGGCAGCTCTCCTCGTTAATCCCCACCAGTCTCCTGCACTGTCACCCTCCTGTGAATCAGCTCTCCCACTGACCCTGTCTGGGCTTCCACATTTGTTTTGTGCTCTTGGAAATGGGCTGTGATGCTTCTGGGGTCTGGGGCGGGGAGTAAAACACCTTTAAATCTAGGAGAACCTTTCTACAGATGGTCACACAGGAGATCATTTTCTCCTTGCCTCCACACTAAAAAAAGGGTCATTTCCAAGAAAAGTCTTGCCAGAAATGTGAAACTTTCCTATTTAGAGAGTATTCCTTCATTTGGAGTTGAGAATGACATTGCAAAGTTGTCATCCATTTTATGAGAACATTTTTGTGACTCATTTCACAATCCAGACAGCTGAATCGAAACTTCTCCAATGCCTCCTCCCTCCCTCCAGCATCCAGTCATCTGCAGCTATGAGCCTCTGGTTACCCAAGACTTTAGTGCTAGCCTCAGACCTTGGGTTCAAGAAGCTGTCAGAGAGAGGAAGGCTGGTAATATTTTTTTCTCAGGTTGATAGAAATGAGTTCTTTCTGGGGCAGGACCCCCAGAAGCCCCTAGGACAATGCTGATGAAGATGGCTTGGCCCCACTGGTCTTTCTTGTGCAAACAAATAATAAAACTTCTCCCCCCACCTCCCCCTCATTTTGGCACGTGGCTATGGCAAATAATAGACTAATGTCTCTTTTGGCTCGGGGAAATCTACACAAACACAAACTGTCTTTACTGAATAACCGCTTCCCTCTGTCCGATACCCTGATTGTTCTATAATATCCCACATCTACCCTTGACCTTAGGTGTCTCTGAAAGAAAGGAACACAATTTCAAAGAAATTTCAAAAACAGCAGAATGTTTGTTATTCGATATGTTCAAGACAGAGGCTATTCTAATTAATACCAAGTCATCATGTCATCCTCCTTAATATTTAAGAAGCTCGTCAAGTGTCACAGTGTCTTAGGGTCACATTAGTGACAGATTATGCATGTTAGATAAAACAGCACTCTGAACGTGAGAGCCTCAGATACGAGTTTCCCTTGGGGGCTCAGTGATATTTTGCAGCGAACATGGCCTAGGGTTGTCTTATCTAATGAGTCACCCAGTTTGGAGAAAAGGGGGCATCACACGCCTCCTGCAGCTGCTAATCCGCCAGTGGAGACCCTCTCTCTGCAGAGGGCACACAGAGGCAGGGAGGCTGGTGCTGCAAGGACAGCCGGGAGCATCCTCCACGCAGAGCTCTGCAACGTAGCTGGACGGGTCCCAGGATGAGAGGGGAGAGGCCACGATTCTCAAATGCAGACTCTCCAATCTCCCTATAAAAAGCTTGTATTCATATATAATGTTTTCATTAAAAAATTCTATGCAGACAGGTAGGAAGGAAAATTAGAGTCTGCTGGCTGCATCTGAATGCTTTGCTGGGTAAGCTGTGTGGCTGGTATCACCCAGATAATGAGGTCTGACCCAAGAAGACCTGGGGCTGTTATATTTTAAGATTTGAGAAATAACAGGGATTTCATCACAGTTTAAAAGTGGCCTCTTTGGTTTTAATAGGAAGGAAAAAGAGGAGAGGAGGGGAGAAGAGGAAAGGGGAGAAGAAAGGAGAGGAGAGGAAAGAGAGGAGAGGTGAGGAGGGGAGAGAAGAGGAAAGGGGAGAGGAGAGGAAAGAGAGGAGGGAAGAAGAGGGAAGAGGATAGAGAGGAGGGGAGAGGCGAAGACAGAGTGGAGGGAAGAGGAGGGGAGAAGGGAGAGGAGGGGAGAGGAGGGGAGAAGAAAGAAGAGGGCAGAGGAAGGGAGAAGGGAGAGGAGGGGAGAGGAGGGGAGAAGGGAGAGGAGGGGAGAGAAGGGAGAGGAGGGGAGGAGGGGGAGAGGAGGGAGAGGGGGAGAGGAGGGGAGAGATAAGAGAGGAGGGGAGAGGAGGGGAGAAGGGAGAGGAGGGGAGA